TCTGGGAGACATTCCTTTTCCAGCTCATTAGTGGCTTATTTAGTTTAAGAGGGCAATTTTATTTCTTTGTATTCCAGGTTTTGGAAGATGAATAGCTGCTTTGTTCCCCAGCTAACTCATAACTTACATTTGTTCCTGACATTATAGGCAGTGAGTGTGCCAAGGGTCTCCGTGACGTATGTCCAGCTCGCCCCTCTAAACTTCGCTGCTGACAGCCGCCCACGACCAAGTGCTGTGGGTCTGCGGAACGCTGCTTGCTGGGGGCGCCGGTCCTTTTCTTTCTTCCCTTCAGCACCCTTCGGCTGCCCAGCTGGGCCGTCAGTCAGCTCTCCTGTGGTCACCCTCGGGCCATCAGCCCACTCCTTGCTTGGAGCCTCTGCCTTCTAGAATGTTGGCCTAGAGCGGTGGCACCCACACAGCCTTGCTGGTGTAGTCCCCAAGGCAATTTTGGGAGACTGTGTGCCCTTTTAGAGTTTTCAGATAACATCTAAAAAATTATTTAGAAGCTGAGATAATTTTCAAGGGTGTAATTTCTGGCACTTTGTAAATAATGAAAATTTAAACACTACTCTTTTAGATGTATCCAATGGAGTCTAAATGCTATAGTGATAATGCATTGTTTTAAATACAAGAACATGGTACCATTGAAAGAAACTGGGAAAATGGTACATAAGATCTATTATTTCTTACAACTGCATGTGAATCTTCAACAGCATTGAAATAAAGTTTAATTAAATAAAATTCTGATCTTGACTTAAAAATATATGAGCAAGTTGTTTAACAGTTAGAAATTTTACATCATTTTTTATTCTACTTCTTCCACATAATTTTATTTCAAAGTAATATATTTTGTGTAATCTTACCATGCTACCATAATTCTCTGCAACAAAAATATGTATATAAGTTGGGCTTTTTAAAAATTTAATTTTTTGTTACCCAAAAGCTCTAACCATTAAATTTTTTCTCATTTGAGCTATAATTATTTCTATACAGTTGATCAACATGCATTATAAATTTTGTTAAATAATTATTAAACATAGGTAAAATTTTATAGAAAATGTGTCAATGATAGGAAGTTTTTAAAAATAGGTTAACACATAAATATTGTTTTAATGAGACAAAGTTTTATATCAAATCAGTTTTTTGTTTGTTTATTTCACCTCTTTATCCTCTAACCTTAGTTATAGAAGGCTTCCCAACACCAAATTTTTACCCAAATTGTCTCTTTGTTACCATGGAAGATTTTATATCTTTAGGCAGTACAACCTACAGTTCATATTTTCCCCCAAACCTTTTCTAGTATATTAAACAGTGTTTTTATGCAAAGGAGGAACATGTTTCATTAATAGTCATTTGCTAAATCTTAATAAAGTCTTGTGGTTCTACTTCCTAGAAGTAGACCATAGTAAGGAGAGAGGTGTGAGCCTTTCTTTTATAAACTAAGGCTGGGAAGTGGGGTGGGAACAGTGATTGAACAGCGGGAATGTGGAAAAGGAGAATTGCGATGAAATACTTACCACAGAAGCCTTTTGCAGGTACATCAGTTTAGGAGAGAGTGTGTTTATATGGAAACTGAGCTGAAAATTCGTTCCCTTAAAACTTTTCATATATATCCCTTTAAGGCCTTGGTATACCTCCAGAGCCCACAGGTATACATCCCTTAGTTTGAGGAATTAGAGCCATTTGTTTATATTTGTGTGGGCATTGGCTTACTCTTTGTGTTTTTATTTAAGAAGTAGTTTTCCATTGCCTATTTACTGTGATAGTGTTTTTATATCCGATTACTCGTTGCTTGGTAAATAGACAAATTGAAATATTTATTGAATGTATCTATTAAATAGCTAGATATATGAGCTAGCCCCATAAATGTGATTTTTAATTCTATGAGATGGACGAAGTAGTAGTTAAATGGAGTTGAGGTGGCCTGCCATGAAACCTAACTATTTGAATTTTTTTTTTTTGGTAGGGAAATGGCATCTTTGTAGAAAGTGGTGCAGGTAGCATACTTAGAAATGGGCAAGGTTCTGTTCTTTCTGTGATTGATGAGAGACAACTGTACTTAGACCCCATCCCCCTTTTCCATAAAGATGTGCCTTTATATTTCAAGAGAATTTCAAAGACAGTTCAGTGGGTTTTTTTCCTTCAGATATATAAATATATTTTGTCGATTTCTGGAAATTTGGAGTAAGGTAAAGAGAGACATTCTGCCTTTTGCTCAGGATACTGTAGGACTCACTTGAGGGTAGGATCACAGACATAACGCATACTCATCTATGAAGAGTGGGTGTGATCATTCTACGTCTTACGTTCAGGAAAGAGAGGGAGAAGGGTAACTGGGTAGGAATAGTAAGAGAAAGGAAGATCAGCTGAGGACTCGTGGAAGGGACCTACCATTTACTCAGGCTCTACTGTATTTGGTAATGGTTGGAATCGCTTGCACGTGTTTCATTTAAGTATGGATGTAGAGGGGAAAATTGCCTCTGGGAAACTGTATTGACAGGGAAATGTGGAGGGAAAAGAGAGAATTTGATTTGTATATTGTACATAATCCTGTTAGGGGCAAGAAAAATGTGGCAAGATGTTGCTCCAGATGTTGCTTCATTTTGGCCACTAGGTGGTGACATTGTACTGACTGCTTGGTTGCTGGCAAGTAAGACTTGGAGTGTGGTGGGCAGGTAAAATAAGCACAAGCGAATCACTTAATTTTTTTTTTATATTAGTCACTCAACTTTGTATCACATCCGTGGAGATTTTATTGAATTTTTTTGATATTTAATTTACATTGCACACTCTACCCTGCAATATTTTATAAATACCTCTATGTGCCGGACATACTTAGCAATGATAAACTGCAGACGATAAGCAGGTGTTCAGATGAAAAACTGCCCCTGCCTTCCAGAAAATCATATACCAAAACACTGTATTTGATGCATATAAGAAACATTGACAATATATTAAGCAAAATAAAAATTTAAGTGTTTGCACTGTATTTATTCCTTTACAGTGTATGGCGTAGGCATACATGCACCCTTGGGATTCAGGGAGAGGGACCACGCCGAAGGCCCTCCCACCCGTAATAACCCTTGCTTATTGCTGGGTATGAGTGACTGACATCCCAAAGCCCCGCCTTCCTTTCCTTTCTGTGCCCCACCGTCCGCTCCCCACTGCTTTCACATCCAGAACAGTTGGTAAGTCATATGCTTTGCATCAGGACTCAAAATGACACAGTCCATTCTCTCACAGCAGAAGTTGCTGCCTCTTGAGCGAGAGGGCTCTCAGTTGCTGGATTGGAGGAAAATAGGTCCCTGTTATTCCCGAGTTGGTATTCTGAATGCACATTTTCCTAGAAACTGTTTTTTGTGGTCGTGAAATATAGTTAAGGTGGTACTATTTGCAACCTTAATTTTAAAAATCAGACTTCTCTGTTTTCTTTCAGAGTAAGTAATCTGGAAAAACATTTTTCTTTTCTACAAAATGGACATTTTCAAGAGACCATATATTCCTTTAAAACATGATTTATTTTTCCTGGAGAAAAAACCTCATGTTCTCCAGCTTGAAGCAGGCTGTTTCTCCTCTGTATTCTGTTAGGTCTTTTTAAAGATCCAGTTTCACCTTATGTTAATGATGTATTGATAATAAACATCCCAACTATATTGTGCATGTGTTTAGTGCCAGGCTTCTTGTTTGTCCTTGTTACCTGTTTACAACAGAGTCTTGCCCAGTGCCTTACATGTAGTTGGTGCTCAATTAAATACATCAGATGCATAACTGAAAACTTAAATGATTTAAGGTCAAAGTAGTGTATTTTAAGTTAATTAACTCTGACTGAAAATAATTTTTATAGGGTATAAGGTATTTGGCTTTTAAAGTAGAAGGACTTCTATAGCTAGGTGCTTTAATATCTGATGAATGGAAGCTAAGGCCTTGAGGTTATAAAACACTAGTTATAAATTTTGGAACTCAAATTGCATTCTTTTAAGCCTGTCCAGAAAATGCAGCCCACGTATGGAACAGTTTCATTGTTAATATTCCAAATTACTTATCCTTTTGAGAATCTCAGTGAAGCTCCCCTGCACAGACATACACACTCAGAAAATTTCACATGAGTTTACACAGATAACTCTGTATCCTATTTTAGAGAGCTCATAGACCCCATATTAAGAACTGCTTTAGTTTCTAGAATAGACTAGAGTTGACTAGTCAGGATATAGCCAGATGTAATAGAAAATGTGGTATATACCGAATCAGTTGATCTGAATGAGTTCTCACTCTCTTATTCTATCTTTGGTAAAAGTGATGCCATTTGGTAGGCCATATAATCTGTCCTTACCTGTTCTTTGTCTGTGAAGTTGTTGCATAAGAGTAAATGAATTTAGTGCATTGATAGAATGGTGCTGGGTACACAGTATGCTTCTCAGTTTTTGTTCCCAGGGTTTGTTTCTGTTATTTCATGAAGGAATGTTGTGATGCTCTAATATCTTCCCCATAAGAAAATTACTTTCTAATTATCTTTTCCTTAAAATTACCTTAGTGTATATATATTTTAAACTTGGGTAACAATCAACTGATCATTCTGTTGTCCTGTACGACAAGCAGAAAGCTGTATTCTGATCTTTGGCACCTCTATATAGACAATACAGTGCTTCTTACTACAGTGATGCAATTGAAAATTTCTAAGACAGAGGAAACATGTCTGTCAGTGTGTAAAAGTAACGGGAGAGAAAGCACAGAGATAATCTACTTGAGATATTATATTAATGAACCAGCGTAACTTGCTAAAGCAATGAATCTTTTTCCTATAATAAAATTTCTAAGAACTTTAGTCTTTTCAGAGGTTGGATGTTTTTTGTCTTATTGAAAATCCATTAATGTTCATGTAAACTTCTTTATAAAAACAGACTTCATTAATGTTTGTCAGCAGCAAACAGGTTGTATTAAAAATATATAACTTTTATGGATTACCTAGTAAGACAAACACTTTTTATTTTTATTCTAATTAGGGAAGAAGACAAAAACATATTTGATTACTGCAGGGAAAACAACATTGACCATATATCCAAAGTCATCAAATCGAAAAATGTGGATGTGAATATGAAAGATGAAGAGGTATGAAGAACGTGCCCTATAATTATTTTCTTATGCTTTCTTGTTCTGCCCCAATGTTTTTTTTCTAAATGGCAGGCCTATGAACTACGACTCAAAATATAGTTAAGAGAGAATATCTAAATGAGACTTCTGTCCATGTTATAAAAGTTACTATGTGAAACTTGCACTCAAATAACTTCTATTTGTTCATCATAAAGGGGGAGACTGTTAACATAAGTGAAATCTGTAAATAATATAAAAATATTTAGAAATAGCTTTAGTGTCCTCTATCATTATATCTTAAATGATATATTTTCCTTTGCTCGGTAAATATATTTCTAGAAAACTGTCAGAATTTTGGTAAATCCAATCATTTAAATATGGTTCCATCATTTAAATATACTTTGTAAAATATATCACTTCTTTTTTTTTTTAAAGATTTTATTTATTTTCAGAGAGAGGGGAAGACAGGGAGAAATAGAAGGAGAGAAACATCAACACGTGGTTGCCTCTCGCGTGCCGCTTATGAAAGACCTGGCCCACAACTCAAGCATGTGCCCTGACTGGGAATCGAACCACTGACCCTTTGCTTTGCAGCCAGGCACTCAATCCACTGAGCCACACCAGCCAGGACAAAATATATTACTTCTTAGGTTTACTTGTTTTGTGAGTAAAACTATTTACATATTGAGCTTGAATTGTCCCTAAATTATACTTGTTTGAAAAGGAACAGACTTCACTAATTCACTTTTATTCATTTTTCTATCTTTGATAATGCAGTGAGAGCTGACTGAAATGACCAAAAGGTGGCAATTGTTAGGAAGAGGACATGGAATGATCATAGATAATGTATAGAGTAGATAAATAATCAACATACGTATTAATTGAGAGCTTTCTGTACAATTTTGCCCTTAATACTGGGTGGGGCAAAAGTAGGTTTGCAGTTGTGAGTATATGAAACAGAGTTTTTATTTTTGTATTATTATTTATTAATTATTATATTATTTTCCATACAAACTATAAACCTAGTTACAGCTACAACATAGTTACATCACAACTTTCAGTTTCAGCTTTTTCATTGGAACTCTGTTGAATCAATGTTTATTATTATTATATAATTAATTACAATATAATTAACAATGTAATATAATTATATTATTATGACATAAATATTGTTCATTGCTGAGTTATGGACTATACTACATGTATTAGCTTTTGCCATAGCAAAAACAACCCCAGATGTCAGTGGCTAACAAAAACATTTCTTTTTGCTCCTATGTCAGAAGGATTTTGGATTACTAAAGACCTAGCTGGGTTCAACAAGCCTTGCTTGGGATCAGTTCATCTTGATTTCATGTATCTTTTCATTCTGAGATCCAGTCTCGGTAGGTAGACACTGTCTGGAGCAGCAGCTGAAGGCAGACAGGCCATATCCCACAAATGCAGTTAAAGATTCTGCTTGGATGTGGCATGTGTCACATCTACTCAGACTTCTTTGGCCAGAATCAGGCATGAGGCCAAGCCCCCGTCAGTAGGGTGAGAAGTCCTGTCCATTATAGAGAAGCAAGGCAAGGGTGGGAAGGGAATGAATAGTTACATAGTTATGACTAAGACAGGCTGCATACCAGGGTACGACATCTGTGCTTCTTAAGGTTAATAATTGTCTCTCTTTTTTCTTCTTATATTTTCTTAGTGTCCTATGTTTCTATCTTTAATTTTTTCCTCAATTTGCCCAACAGAGGTCTTCTCAGTGCAGGCAAACACACGAGGTCCTCAACCCCATGTATTGTTTAGCACTGTCCTTGTGGAGGCCCCTTTCCTTCTTCATCTCCAGTCTGGACTGGCTGCTCTGTAGACCTGTTGCATCGGTGGCATCCCAGACGGCATTTTACCGCTTTCCAAGGACTTCTCTTCCCCTTCCTCCTGGCCTCTTCTGTGTTCCGGATCCCAGGTCTTCGTCTCGTAATTGTTTGTTTCCCTGTTTTGATGGAGAATCTCCTCCAGTAACTTCCTCTTTCATTTATTTCATGGTTTTGGTGGAGCATTTCCTCCAGCCTGAGAATGGTAAATGTTTTGAGATCTTCCTTGTTGAAAATGTTTTGATCAGAGTTCTTGGCATATTCCAAATAATCAGAAACACAAACAAACTGATGAATTAATGAATGACAGGAAAAAAATGAATAACTAGAAGCAGTATAATATAACGCTGGTGAGCTGTGCTACATGGGGTCAATGGTCAAGTCTTTGCAATGTTATTTCCTATCTATACGACCTTTCAAGTCTATTCTGTGACTCAGTTTCTTAATGTGTAACATGGAGATAGTAATAGCACCTATGTTAGGGTTGTTTTGAGGGTGAAATGAGTTAATATACAGCAATTAAACAGTACCTGACCCACCCATAGTGAGAACTCAATAGATTTTAGCTATCTTGATTATCCTTACTGAATAATATGAAAGAATGAGAATATAATGAAGAGATGAATGAAAAAGCCCACCTACCTCCTTTTTTAACTTAATTTTTTAGAGCAGCTTTAGTTTATATCAAAATTGAGAGGAAGGTGCAGAGATTTTCCATGCACCCCCGCCCCCCCACATGCATAGCCCCCTTTGTTGTTAACATCACTCTCCGTAAGGGTCATGTTAACTTTTTCTTTTTCTTTTTTTTTAATTAAGGATGAACCTACATTGAGACATTGTAATCACCCAAAGTCCATGGTTTACCTCAGGGTTCACTCACTTTTGGTGTTTATATTCTATAGGTTTGGATAAATGTATAAAAATAGTACTGAAAACCAGATTCACACCTGACCTTTGCAGAGGTCATTGGACAGCAGTGACAGGGATAAAAATAAATGCCGAGAACGCACACCGCTTACACTAGAAGCCCATTTTTGTGTGTAAAAATAAAAGGAACACTTGTGAAATGTTTTGCTTCGTCCCTTAGTTACTTTGATGCAGTAGCTTCCCAGGCCTTCCAGGTTGTTGCCCACGCAGCCGCCTTCCCCCCCAGCCTGGCAGAACACTGGATGCGGTGCTTACACATTCATAGACTGAGACGCCGGGAATTCAGCTGGGTTCTCTCGTTGCTCCAAGCAGATTTCTGCCCCCTCAGCCATGACCGCTCAGCCGGGGCTTTGAATACTGATGGCAAGCCCTTTTATTATTAATCAGGGATTTGTGTGAATTAATTTGAGAACATGAGGGGGATGAGAGCTTAAAATGAGAATTAAACTTAACATCCTAAATAAAATTAATAGTACTGCTTCATGGTATTTAAAGTTCTAGCAAGTAAAACAACAACTTGGTAAGCCTTGGCGATGGACTAAAGTATATAACCTCAAAGTTAAGTTGCTCGCTAAATACTGTTAACCCCTTTATCAGAAACATTACATTTCTTTATAAATTGGATAACAATTACATTTTGAAAGGACATCCAATTCTTTGTGTTTATCTATGTGATATATAAACTTGAGGTATTCCACTACTGATTAGGATTATTTTAGATGGTATAGGACTTTATTTAAAACGTTTATCCAGCCCTGGCTGGTGTGACTCAACTGTTTGGAGGTGTCCTGTAAAGTGAAAGGTCATGAGTTCCATTCCTGATCAGGGCACATACCAAGGTGGTGGGTTCCGTCTGCGTTAGAGGCACGTATGAAGGCAACTGATCGATGTTTCTTTCTTGCATCAATATTTCTCTCTGTTCCTCCCTTTACCTCTCTCTAGAATCAATAAACATGTCCTTGGATGAGGATATGAATGAATGAATGAATGAATGAATGAATGAATGAATGAATGTTTATCCAGCAAGTTTAACTCAATTTCAGTCTTGCCTTTACATAACCAAAAATTACATTTATTGCACTTAAAATTTGCTATAAGCACATAGAGAAATTTAATTATAGTAATAAAATATGCCACATTTGTATTCTCACATACTTGAAATAAACAAAATTATCATATTTCCTGAAATGCATATATTTGGGTTTGTAACTATTATAGCACATGAACATACGGAAGGTGCCTTTTAAATGAAGTATTAATATTTCATAATGAAGTTATTTTATTATGTGTAAGTAGAGTTCCTGATATATATCTTTTATTTATTCAAGTTGTAATTACTATTAATAGAGTAGAGCAAATATTTCTAATTTGAGAAAATTACATGATATTTCCTACTGATGCAGTAATTAGAACATTGTATTTCACATAATAGAAAAAAGTTTTGTAGTTATATTTACTATTCAGGAAGCTATCAGATGTTTGAAGGTCCAAGTTTATAGCATCATGTTGCTGTGTGTATTCATTTTTATTTAAACTACAACTTTTATTGTATTTTTAACCATTTGCAGAAATATTTGGAAATTGAAGTAGACAATATAAAGACAATGTAAAAGAGAAGACCTAAGAGCCTATTAGTTTTCTTAAATGATGATTCAATTTCTGTCATTGAATCATATTAATATAGCTCCCCACACATGCCAAATATTTACTGTTTTTCAAAAAAATATCTTTTAAGGGTAAAGAATGACTTTAATGTGTAAAGTGTTTACAGTATGAGCACAGTATCTCTTATCAGTTGTCAGACACAAATTATATCTGCATAATTCTTGTCACATGCATTATTTCTCAGATCATTGCCATCTACAATAGACATTAAATGCATGCTTAGTGATGATATTTAAACAATATTTTAAATCTTTATATTAATTTAATTTTTTTAGGACCAATGTAGCAATGTAATAATATTTGAACAAAATAGATTACATTATTCCATTGCAAGTTATCATTGGTCCCCCCCCCCCAAAAGCATTCATCAAGGTCATTGGTTTTCCATAGATTCTTATCTAACGCACGCCTGAATTCCTCTTTTATTGAGCTACTTCTTTAGTTAAGTTCTTTCCTTTCTATGCTTCTGAAGGTACAAGTGTTACACCATTTCCCACATGTTTATTGAAGATCACCTTTCTGTTGAGTCCATTTCTTTCCCTTCTTGCTTTGTTTTAAATCTGTGTGGCT